TGAACATTTGCACGACATTCTAATTTTTCGAGTTTCACCTGTATATCACAAGACAGTCTGTCTCAGATATTTTGCAGTCAGGATGGTGTAGATATATGTCATTGCAGGCAATGGTAGTTGCCAATAAAAATGTATTTATTTGCCTTAATGCATTTTGCAGAAAATGCTGCTCAGTTACTTCACATACATTCAAAAAATGCCCCTGAAAAAAGAATATTTTCTAAAATGTGTTCAGCCAGATAAATACTTTTTTTGCTGGTGATTGGGATTCTTCCTCCCTCTTTTTCTTCAGGGTGTGCCCTCTTTCGCTCAAAAAAATGTCCCTTACTTTGCATCAAAACTGAAGCCTATTGCCCTCATGTCTGAAAAAGCTACAGTTGATATGATTGCATTTCACCTAATAATAGATATAGCATCTTGAATGTCTTCATTTTCAGTCCCAAAACCATTCTTTGGACCACATGATGGTAGTATTGATGTACCCATCCCAGTATTTCTCAGATGAAGATGATTATCAGTCACCATCTTTTCTCTCAATAGCTACATCTCTTTACCAGTTGTTACTGTTGTGCATTAGACACCTTTCACCCTGCCAAGAGGACATACGATCCTATATGATATAAATACAACTTTCTTCCTTGGTCTGGAAGTCAAATAGAGCAGGCAATACCGGACCCTATCTTCCAGCTGATGCAAGAAGGCACAGCGGTGATTCCAGAAAGTCTTCCACCATAGCTAAAGGTGGTTAATGCCTTTGGTTGAACCCCTCATCAAAATGAAACATCTTGAAAGTTTTCATAGGGTTGAAGGTTATTCCTTTTTCACCATCTCATGCCAAATTCAGTTATATTGGAAGAATATCTGTGTTGCTCAGGGTATCAGCAGTGTTCTATCCTAAAGGATGGAGAGGGACAGATATGATGGATCACAAACTTTACTTAACTGGGGCTTTGCCTGTGTGAGTGGCAAATCTTGAAAAATGATGGCATTACCTCTAGGAGAAGGTTTTGGCTTTCTTTAATTTCCTCTCCAGGCAATGTAGTTTATAGGACTGCTTTTCAGAGCAACAAAAGCTGCTTTTTTTCCACACAACCATTTGGCACATAATCTCTGTTGTCATCAGGCTGCCAAATTGTGACATGGCTCATCTTTCACTTTCTAAGCCACATGGCCTCAACAACTGCAGTAACTTCTTTGTGAGATCTTTGACTAAAAACTGGTTTCTAGGGTTAGTTCATACATCATCTCACCTTCAAGACATTTTAAAAATATTTATTTATTTGCTCACTCCAGTTTACATGCTTCTGCAATCATAATGATTCTGAACAACTGATGTCCTCCAATCTGATGTGCCACATTTTGGGGGTCATATGTTCTTTATTTGTCCCCAAAAGCCTTGAAGAGCCACATTTTCATAACTTTTCAAAAATATGAAGGAATGGTCCAGATAGCTGGTGATAGGCTGTTTCATAGGATGGGAGGATAAAAGAGGAGGGCAAGGACTGAAATGACACAAGAAAGAGGGATCCCTCCCTTTGTCTTTTTCTATAGGATTGAGGGCCATTTCCAAGATGGGATTCCTGCAAAGGTAACATTCCCTCAGTAGAGGGACCATCAGCAAGTTTTGTTTCTGTGATCTCACCAAACAAGCAGAATCAACCCCAAGTAGGCAGACTTGGAGATATCTAGACCGTGAACTATGTAATGCTTTAAAGGTGATAAATAACAACTTGAATTGTATCCAAAACCTACCTGGCAGTCAGTGCTGTTCCCACAGTAGTGACTTGAATGCCCATGCCTATTTGAGATGCTGCTTGATGAAACAGCCAAAACTTCCAAATAGTTTTCAAGGATATCTCCAGGTAAAGCACATTACAGCAATCCAAATATAAGCTGCCAAGGGCATTAGTCATCATAAGCAAAGCCTCCTGTTCCAGAAATAGCCAGAACTGTCACAAAGATATACAAATGCCCTCCAGCCATGTCCTCTACTTGCTGTTCAGTCAAGAGCTGTAGGTCCAGAACAGGACTCCAAAATTGTGAGCCAGCTCTATCTGATAGAGTGCAGCCTTATTCAGAACTAAATACAGACTGTTTTCAGAATCTGGGCTTTTAAATCCACAGCCACACAACCTGTTGGGATTAAGTCTTTAGCCTGTTTTTTTCCCATCCAGACCATAATCGCCTCCAGACACTGGGTCAGGACTTCTACTGCATCTCTTGCCTGGCCAGGAATGAAGATGCACAATTGAATAACCTTCCTATATTGATGATTTCTTACCTCATGCTGATAGATGAGCTCTCTCAACAAGTTTATATAGATGTTAAATAGTAAGAAGAGGAATGAGCTGAGTAGAACCAAATACCTGATGGTTAAACCTCTTCCTTCCATTACCCACAAATGGAACTGGCCACTCAGGAAGGAGAATCACTGAAAAACAATATCCCCCCACCCCCACCCCAAACTCTTCAGGGCAAGCAGATACAGGACCTTACCTAAAGCAGTCTTGGACTCCATTTATACCAGGACCTGTTGATACTTCTTGAGCATTTGTTGCACGTGCTGGATGTCTCAATGGCTGTTAAATTTGTATTTGAAATGTTACATTTTTATTTGAAACATTCTATAAACATCCTCATTTTTTGTTGCATGTTCTGGACCACTAATCATTTTTCTTGGTGGCTGTTAAAATGAGTTACAGAGGCTATTAGGCCCTACTACAGTTTGGCAAAGCATCCTTAGTGGCATTTATGTAGGATATGCCTTTTCCAGAAATTTGTTGTGGAGCAATCTGGTCTTAGTTGTTCAGCTGCATCAGTAATTATCTTGATATTAGCTCTTGTCAAAATGTGGCATTTGGCTGAGCAGTCCTGCTTCAATACTTTAATGAGTCACCTACATACAGATAGGGGAGCTGGTTAATCACCCATATTTTTAGATCAAAAAAACCATGGTGAAGAAGATCTGGTTACTTACCTCTAATTGTATTCTTTGAGTGGCTATCAGTGAATTCAGTCTTCCCCATGCAGTGTTGAAAACACTACCCTGGTTTGAATCTACTGCAACAGTTATGGGGAATGGATGGCAGGAGCTCCAGCTTTTTTGTGGCATGCTCTGATGGTGTCGACCTCTCACCAAAATCTCCAACTCTGGAGCATTTCAACCTGGATTACCCTCACACGCATGGCCCCTGTTTGTGAATTAGAAGAACCATAATTATAATTAAGTAGTACTTCTGAAGCTTTGTTCTGAGCTCAAAAGGAAAAAATGGGGTGTTTTGTACCTTACTGTTTTAAGTGTTCTAAGCATCCTATGATTGGCTACTACCAGAGGCTATACCTAGCTGAGGGGAGGAGTAAGTATAATTTAGGAATATGTTCAGAGATTGAGAATGATTTAGGATCTAAGAAAGACTGTTCCCAAGAGGTAGGCTTCCTGCTATTTTTATATTCTTTGCTGTGAAGGAGTTAGAGTTTAGAAGCTGTAATGTTACATACACTGTCTGTATTTTTTATTTTCAGCCAAGTACTTAATGCAGAAGAGTGTGCTGTGCAAATATATTACTGATAGAGTTGCTCTTCTGTTAAACTTTCAAGTAGCCAAATATAAAAAATAGTATTGCATTGTTTATTTGGGCTTGGCAGATGTGGCCAAATACAAAAAGTGTGCACTGCAAGCTTTTGCTTTAGAAGAAGCCTGGAATTAATAGCCAAAGAAGTATATTTTTGCTGTTGTTACTTTGTTTATGGGCTGTATTAAAGTAAATCCACTGTTGCTGCTTCTTTGGTTGACATGGGTTTGGAACTGCATGGTCTGGCTGCAGAAAGTGTGTTTAAATATTTCCTCTATGGTTTTCTATGGAAAACTTTAAAAACATTTTAATTTTAAAAATCATCTACCTAGCCAACTTTTTTGTAAGTTGGGAAACAGGTAGTTATGAGCATGGGCTACCTGCCTATTTAATTTAGTAGCTCTAGGACAAAAAATATTGAGTATGGCACTTGTTTCAGTTATTATCTATAGTGGAACACTTGAAACATTTCAAATTGTTTTCTGCTGGAACACAAGCCACTTAAAACATTCCAATAGTACATTTCAAGTGAGACATGGAATTATTTTGAGTTTAGAACATTTTTTTTTCTTTTTATCATTTTATGGTCACCCATAATGAATGAACACGTTGAAAACTGTTTGAGCTATATGACTGAAATGATATAGAATACTTTAAACTAAACAAAAATCTTTGGGATAACAGTAACCCAGGTTAATTGTACATGCTTTTAGTTGGGATTCTCCATGCCTAGTGAGATAAGTGCTGAAGTAAATATTATATTTTTTGCTTATGTATCGCCTTGCATCCCAGCAAAGTTCCTCAGCACAATGGTTCAGAAGTGGGAATTGCCTTGAAGTACTTACAGTCTGTGTGGAATTTGAATTCTGTGATTTTATTTGGTGATTGGATGCTTCTTGAGAAGTATCGATTGGTGGTTGGGAATGGTGTTAACTCTATTCTGATTGGCCCACTTTGTCAGTGCGTTATGTGTGGTTTGAATCATATGATCTGTCATCCAGTCAGGTGCCTGATACATCTACAGTTCCTAGTTTACAAATACTAGAAATACAGATAAGAAGGTACCGTATTTTTCCAACAATAAGATGCCCCCAAGTACAAGACGACCCCCACTTTTCCAACCCAAAATTAAGAAATCAATATTTTAAAGATAGTGCAGAACACATTTTTATTTAGTAATTAGTTAACATTGACCTGATATTTTAAAGATAGTGCAGAACACATTTTTATTTAGTAATTAGTTAACATTGACCTGATATTTTAAAGATAGTGCAGAACACATTTTTATTTAGTAATTAGTTAACATTGACCTGATACACTCGGTGGGAGGAGGTCCAAACAGTCTCTCTGCAGCTCTATTTCCAGGTTCTTTTGTATAACTGATTACATTCAAGCACGAGTGAAACTGCTGATAGCTTGTCTCTGCAAACAGCCTTCCTCCAATTGGTTTGTTCAGCATCAGCTGACATCAGTTACATCAGGCTCGTGATTGGAGGAAGTCTGGGAGACAAGCTATTTCACTCATGATTGGAGGCTAGCAATAGGAGTAAGCCTATAGAAACAAAGTTTGGCAGTTTTGCACCCGCGATTCTCAGCTGACTTCCTTGAATAAGACGCCCT